CAAATTCCATGGTAAGTGTACCATCATCTACATCAATTTTTGTCATAGCTGTTTTCAAAAATGGCCTTCCTAACAAAATTGATGTTGATTTAGAATAATCATCTTCTTGCATATCAAGAACATAAAAATCTGTAGGAAAAATCAATTCATTAACTTGCACTAAAATATCCTTTAAAACTCCCTCAAGATATACATTAGATCTATCAGCAAGTTAAAGAATCACTCCTGTTTCTTTCAAAGGACCAACATTCAGAGATGAGTAAATAGAAAGAGGCATGATATTTATTGAGGCTCCTAGATCCAACATTGCTCTCTCAATGCTAACATTACCGAGTTTACAAGGGATAGTAAACATACCTAGGTCTTTGCACTTGGGGGGTAGTTTTTTCTGGAGGGCAGCTGAAACATTCTCCCCCATACTTACCTTTTCATTACCCTTGAGCTTTCTCTTGTTGGTGAACAATTTTTTAAGAACTTTAGAATATCGAGGTACTTGTTTAATTGCATCAAGTAAAGGAATATTTACCTCGATCTTCTGAAACGTCTCAAGAATTTCTTTCTCTTATGCTTCTTTCTTGGATTTAGCAAATCTAGAGGGAAAAGGAGGTTCTATGACAAATTCCTTCGGTTTTTCGCTTTTGAGTCCTTTAGGTTGGACTTTCTGAGTTTGAGGAGCAACAACTTCCTTTTCAGTTTCTTCCTCTAAAGCTCTCCTATGTGCCAATGAACTAGGTTCCTTCAACTCATTTCCACTTCTCAATGTGATCGCACTAATATTTTGCTTTAGATTAACAATGGTTTGTGAAGGTAACTTACCTTGGGATTCTGACTGACTCACGGAGGATGCCAATTGATTCATTTGATTCTCCAAATTTTGTATGCTTGTTCTTTTCTCTTGCTGAAATTGTTGTGTATTAGTTGCAAGTGATTTGAAAATTTCTTCTAGGAACATACCTGGCTTTGAAGAAGACTGCTCAGGTGAAAAACGCTGGAATTGTGATGGTCTTAGTCCATAGTTAAGGTTAGGATGATCCCTCCATCCTGGATTATAGGTATTTGAGTAAGGATCATGCTTCCTTTGTGGTAGATCTGGAAACCTTCCAACTGCATTGGCGTATTCATGAGAATCATGTTGAAGTGTAGGGCACATGTCAGTTGGGTGACCTATCATAGCACATATCCCACAAGCTTTCACTTGTTGCGTTTTTTCTACAACTAGTTGTTGAACAAGGGATGTGAGATGCGATAGTTTATGTTCAACAGAGGACGAACCTACCTCATTCACCCTTCTTGAAGATGTGTCTTGCCTAAAGCCAAATTATTGTGAATTGGCAGCCATGATGGAGATCAATTCCCTAGCATCGTGAGGAGTCTTATTCACTATGGCCCCTCCACTAGCTGCGTCCATCATCTTTCTCTCCATGGGTTGTAATCCTTTATAGAAATATTGGATGAAAAGTTACTCAGAAATCCCATGTTGAGGGCAGCTGACACACAGTCGTTTGAATAGTTCCCAATACTCGTGAAGGGTCTTAGTATCTTTTTGTTTTATTCCACATATATCCCTTCGAATGCCAGCGGCTCTTGAAGCAGGGAAAAATTTATCAAGAACATATCGGCCCAAGTAGTTATAGAACCAGGGGGTAAATAGAAGAGCCAATCTTTAGCTCTATCGGTTAGTAAGAACGGAAAAATGCGCAGTTTTATCTGCTCTTCAGTCACTCCTTGCGGCCTCATACTTGAACATACCACATGAAATTCCTTCAAATGCTTGTGAGGATCTTCATTCTCAAGTCCATGAAAAGTAGGCAACAAATGAATCAAACCAGATTTTAATTCAAAAGCTACCTCCAAAGCTGGGTAGTCAATGCAGAGAGATTGTTGATTCACATTTGGTGCAACCAATTCTCTTAGAGTTCTTTCTTAGTTGGCCATTGTTCCTTCTATTTCAAAATCGCTGGATGAATCAACCAAGTTGACTGCAGATTTCGATTCCGGGGATGAAGAATAAGAAGCTTGTTTGTTGCGCAAATTAGTTTCTTTTCTTAACCTGCGAGCGGTCTTCTCGATTTCAGGATCGTATTGGAGTTCACCTGCACGAGAAGAATGAGGCATCAAAATAAATCTAAATGACACCAATCCCCGGCAACGGCGCCAAAATTTTGGTGGGTGTCAAATCCAACAAATAATAATACTTGCTTTTGGAAATAGAAAATTGTAATAGCGATAAGCAAGGTCGAATCCACAAGGATTGGGTAGATTTATTTTAATGAAAATTAAAGCAAAGAAAAAGGGTTTTAAAATTGAGAAAAGTAAAAATAAAAAGTAGATCTAATCAACTAAAAATTGAGAGAAATTAATATTAAGCAAATATCCAACTAAAGGTATAATTTCAGAATTGGTTCAAAGAATTGATCATAGATGCAATGATAAAATCTTCTACTTTTCACTAAATTGGTTATGGTTATTGAGAAGCTCTAACAACCTGTCTCTCCTTAGTTTCTTGATAATCAAGAGAAGCTCTTTGATTATTTCCCTAGTTAATGAATAACCCTAGACAAGCTCTTAAGATTTAATCCACCAACAACATTAACCACTAGAGGGACCACCAATTCTAGCCAACGAATACACAAGCTCGATTCATTTAGACTAGGTTATATACCTTCATAACATAATCATAATCAACCATGTTACTTTACCACTAATATTAGAACGTTTAAACAATTACGGATTTAATGTTCTAAATGGCAATTTATCAACTTGATAATTGAACAACGGATCCTTTGCACAATTAATCAAGACAATAATTCTTAATAAAAATAGAAGATATATAAATAGCAAAGAAGTAAAAGAACAATGAAAATTATTTAGATCTCACAATCCTTAAAGAACCAAAACTTCAATTATCCTTCAGTTGGAACAAAAGTGTTTAGCTACTCATAATTGAAAGAAAACCAAAAGAAAATAAAGAAAACTTAATGTAAAACTTGATGTAAAACTAATGGCCCTAGCTCCCCTTTTATAAGGATTTTCATATTCTAGATAAAGAAGTTTCCCTTAAAGAAAATCCCACAAAAATAGGAGTTTTAAATGCCCTCATCTTTTTCTAAAGATAAGAATAATTCAAAAAAGTCTTCTAGTCGTCATTAAACTCTTTTTCCCTTGTAAATTCATAACCCTAATTTAGGGCTGTACAGACTGGTAAGGCGCGCCTACACATTAACTGAAGACTTCTTCTGCGGTAGTTCAGGATGAATAAGCCATGCCCACGCCTTACGCGAAAACCTCTTCTGGTCTTGCTAGGTTCTTGAATTCTGATTTTTCCTCCTTAATTCGGGGATTTTGTGAAAATCATGTTAATCATAAGATTTTGAACTTGTTTTATCCAAATCTTCAACCTAATCCACAAAATACGAAATATAATCAAAATCCATAATTTAATCAATTTTAGTTATTCAAATATGAGGAAAATCTCATAGAATATATGTTTAATATGCATCTTATCAATTTCCTTTATATTCAAACATTGATATTCCAGTTGTTATGGACTGATATTTTCATCTTCTCAGATTGGCCATAATAGTTTCCTCGCTTAGTCCAGTGCAAACATCCCCAATTTTCTCCTCGAGCTCCTACCAAATAACCACAAGAAAATGATCAGATCTACACGTGTTCTCCATATTTTTTCCAAACGAATAAAGTGCAATTGCATCCCCTGTCATCCTACTTTCGTCACTCGTACATTGATCTCTGGAGGAGATTGTCATATTAATATTTTTTTGTTATGTCACAAGATCAACCGATGATCCCAACATGATGGAGTGGGAAGATCGGTGACTTTTGATGCTCTAAGATTTGTTTGTGTCACTGTAACTAATTTTTCTTGGATGTTTAGTTTAATTTTAATGGACCAGTTAATGTAAAATTAATTACAAAACAATGAAAGAACAAGTTAATCCTTGTAAAATTACTTACCCTTTTTTTTTGATAAATCATTTTCCTAATACGTTCACTATTTTTCTCAGTTAACTTACACCAGTGTAAATAAGTTTTAGGAAAAAATAACTCTCTCACCAATGTAAATAAGCTAATAATATTTTTTTTCTTTCAAGTACTTGACGCAGACAAGAAAGCTTGAGGGATACTAGAAAAAAATATTATCTTACACCTACTTAAATAAGTTAATGTTATTGTTTTTTAAATTTTACATTAATTTAGTTAGTATATTAAATAATAATATTTATTTTATTTAAAAATTATGATGAATAATTTCTGAAAATTTTATGAAATAGTAGAAAATGATTTATCTAATATCATATTTATTGTATTTAGTATTTATAATGAATAATTTTTTAAAAAATTATTAAAAGATAAATAATTATTTACCTAATATCATTCAAATATTATGAAATAATTTTTGAAAGTTAATTTTTAAATATATAATCACTTTAAAAAATTTATTTTCTAAAATTTATTTTTAGTGAAACAAACGAAAATGTAATGCATAAGAAGCTAGTTATAAGGTTAGAAAATATCTAATTTCAGCCTAAGGTTAGGGTAAACACTTGTACTAAGGAAAGAGTAGGGTAGAAACTCCAAAACTGCCAACTTTGAACCGATCACTGCCTTCCTAATCCCAAGTAGAATGATTCATTGTCCAGACCTATGTTTTATATCATCCATTGATGATTGATCATCGATGTTGATATATAATATGTGGCTGAACCTGCCACCAGAAAAAATACAAAGAAACTAATGAAATCCATAATCTTTATACTTTGTTTTGGTTGAATCTAAAAACCTTCAGCTTCTCGTTACATTATTAGAGAAAGCATAGGGATTCTATGGAATTGCAGTTTTTCTGTGGCATCCATTAAGAATCTCTGAAATGAAAGGAAAAGTAAATGACGATTGTGCGTGAAAGTACTTGGTGAGAAGCAGGTTCAATGTTCAGCAACACATTGTTTTTCAGGGATTAAAAAGAGACCTGAATCCTGACATCAAACAGCCAAAGCTGGATTTTTGCAGATGGGGCATGAATTCTTCCGAACAAGCCATTCCTTAATGCAATTGAAGTGAAACTCATGACCACAACCCAGCTTACCGAGCTCTTCGCCGTCAGCATAATCCTCCTGTGAACGGTTTCCAAGAACATGAAATGGAAATTAATTTGAATCCATCTTGCACAGACCACTATTGTTCGTGGAGTAAGAAGAAATATACCTGACAGATACAACAAGGTTCAGTTTCTATTGGAGGTTCAGTTGTTATGGACTGATGTTTTCGTCTTCTCATATTGGCGATAATAGTTTCCTCACTTAGTCCAGTGCAAACATCCCCAATTTGCTCCTTCAGCTCCAGCAGTTCCTACAAAATAAATGACACGAGCTTTTAAAACCCTAAGTAATTCCCATTGGACTCAAAATACTTGAGTGTTACCTCATAAGACATGTTATCTAGGCGCATATCCTCGAGAATATCAGGATCCTCCTTACAAATAGGAAGGATTGATTACCATCACATCTTGCCATATATTCCATGTTGGTGCAAAACCAGTGTTAAACATTGATAATAATAGCATTAATTTCCTTCATATTCAAACATTGATATTAATAAACAAATAAAGCTCCAGTTTTACCTCCAGTCGTACGCCACCAGGCATACGTACAAGTCCAAAGGCACCGTAGACCTCCTATGGGAAAGGAACCGTATCTTAGTTGCAGCCAGTAATAAGAGACAATCTACTTAAGCACGCATATAAGCATCGTATTGTAGAAATTTATATAAATGGAAGCTATAGCTATGGGGATTATAGTCTATGGTACAATACCTCAGATACCAGTCTTCTCCTATGAGCTTGTATCTCAGTCCTCCGGCTAAAACTCGGATGAACTCTGCAGGCCTGACATTGCTACCTCTTATTGAAACGTCAATGTCTTGGGTATCAGGGGAACAACCAGGAAGTATTGGATAGAAATTCCTTCGCCTCCAGGCCTCAGATTGATTGATCACAATATCTTGCCCTCTTTGTCCATGTTGCAACCATATTTGGACTAGGGGAGCCTATGGATGAATTCGGTAGATGCTTGCTTGAACCAGCTAGGATTCTCGAAGAGGAGGCGTTTGCATTCTCATTGACCAAGTTCACGTTTGCCAAAGAAATCATCATATTATTCTTCTGTTGTTTCCTAGGTTCTCTTCCTGTTGCAAAGTTTCTCTTACTCTTTACAGTTTGATCAAGAGAGACGGAAGAAGGACCAACCCATGACAGGCTTGTCCCGTTCCAATAATGTTGCAGATCTTGCGACGATTTAGAGACTTGCACAGTTGGCTGCACGGGTGAATTTACTAGCACTGGCGCTGGTACTGAGCTTGTAAGGGTAAAGGGGTGTTGGCCAGTTGGTTGTGCATTAGAATTGTTCGAGTTCCATGTCCACAAGTTCCTTTGAAAGTTATCAACTTGCCTAGCCTCACTTGGAATTTGATACAAGTTAGAGGATGTTGGCAAAGCAGCCCCAAGTCTTGAATGATCATTGAAGGAATTAGCTGCTGCATTTAAGAGGCTGACATTGTTTTGGGCAATAGTCCTTGGCTGCTGAGAACTCTGAGCTTTACCTGCGGAGCTTGAACCCAATTTAGGAGCCTTTCTTTTGCATAAAAGCCTTCTTTGACCATCAACCGGAAGACCATCTGGGCTTATATTTTCTTCAATAACATATCCAGCTACTCCTGAATGAATCATGACTGGACTTGAAGAACCACTGGAGTTTTGAATGTTATCACCACCCGCTACTGCTCATTCTCGAAGAAGGTCGAACGATATATATGTTCCATTTCTCTGACTTGCATCAATACCACCTCTTCCAGGATGTACCACATTATTCAGATCAAAGCTGTGTTGGAGGGGAACAGAATCGACCTCCACCGATGGTTCGATCAGGCCATCATCGGCGACCCTGCTATTATTTTGTAGAAGAGGGTTAAAGCTTGGCTCAGAGCTTTGAGTCGTGTCAGTTTGATCACCGGGAGGCGAAAGCCAAAAGTCATCACCCCAGAATTGAGCAAAACCCACATGGTTTTGGGTGTCGATACCAGAACTGGTTTGACCAATCCCTCTCATTGAAGTATGTTCATCAGGAACCAAATTATGCTGATCAGATCCAACATCACCATTGGAGTCAAAGTTTCCTGTTTGAAAAGGATTGGAGCTGTTGCCTTGACCTTGAGGAGTCATTCTTGCCTCAAATTCCTGCAAACAAATAATCCAAAAATTGACTTAGAAATAGAGTAATAAGCTGGTTGAGTACAAGTGCAACGTAACAATATAGATATGCATGATATTTGGATAAATAAGATTACTGTGCAAAGCAAAGCAGATATTTGTTGCATTATAATTTTATAAGCTTCTTGTTTTTCTTTTTCTTTCCTACTTTGTTCTTCACGTCTTGAAACTTCTCAAATTAACCTAAATAAATGATTTAAATAGCGGTCTGTGACCGCAATAGCACTAACTATATAATGGCAGCAGTGCCGTCTGATATCGTTATTATATGACCATAATATCTACAATCACCATAATATTGTCCGCTATGTCTACAATCGCGATATACACAACGCAACCTTAAACACGAACGCAATCACAATTTAAATTTGTTACCTAATTCATATCAAACTAACTAATAGTTTCCAGCTTTAGCCTAGATTCTCTAGTCATTCTCAATGTTTGGACATTCAAAACGAAACACCAATAATTATTACTTATATTTTTACATGACAAAGACATAAAATAACACGATTTTTTAATGAGATAAAATAACAAGATTTGATTGTTCTTTTAAAGAAGAAATTTTAAATTTTTAAAATATTTTTATTCATTTATTTTTATTTGTTTGAGGTTAATGGCACTACAACAAATTTGTCAATTTATGACAAAATTTCTATATGACGTTACGTATATCGTCCCAAAACATACTATAATGTGACGTTTTTTTTATTTTCGTCATATTTATTGATTAATGATATATCTTTTATGACAATTTTAAAAATGATCATTGATTTTTGTCACTATATGTTTGGCGCCAAAATCTTCTCACCAAATTTTTTGGTGGGAAACCTTTTAATGACATTTAGATAAAATAATGACGTTGTAAAATAGTCTCCAATGAAAATCAAGTATTAGTGACGATTTATTATAGTGTCGATTCAATTTGAATTAGTGACGTTGCACATTCGTCACTAATAAGTTTTATTCGTGACAATTTAATTTGTCATATTTTATAAGACATTAAAAGTGACATTTTATTATTGTCACAAAAAAAAGTTTTAGCACGACGAAATCAATTATTTTTCACTTGTTTTTATCTCTCTTTTTTATATAAAGATTTTAAAAGACGTCATGAAATTATGTCACTTAAGGTCCATTTGGTTGGGGGAAACGTTTTACGGAAAATATTTCCCCCCTTTTCCCGTGTTTGGTTCCTGTAAAATATGATGGTCAACGTATTTTGTTTTCAAATAAATTTGTCACTATTAGTAGTTTTTTTGTGACAAAATAAAAGTTTTATAGTTATTGTTATAGAAAAATTATAACAACAAAAAATCTATTTTTTAATTAATAAATGATTTTATTTTTTAATGAAAAAATATGCTTGTCGTTATACATTTTGATTATAATGAGAAAATATAATAATTATTATTATAAAAATAAAATGTTCAAAAAAAGAAATTTTTATGATATATAATTTAATGGAATTTTCAAATAAAATATAATAACAAAATATATTATCAAAATGTTTTCATTTATTTTTTACGAAGCTAGTTTGATTTTTTTTTCTCTTAATTATAGTTATGTAAATAATTTAATCAAGTAAAGAATTTGAATAAATCAATATGCATAATTGAACAAATTAAAATTAATTTCATTTAGAAGCAAACAAACAATTGTAATTAATTAAACTAAATAATATATTTTAATAAAATAATTGTCTCACGTAAAATTATAAGTAATCTTCCTCTTCCTCTTCGTCTTCATATTGATCATCCATATCTTCATTTTCACCACCACCACCGTTATTATCACTATTATCATCTAACCCAATGATCATCAATTTTTTAATAAAAATAAATTTAAAACATATGAATAATAAAATAATTATTTCGTAATTTTTAATTATCGAAAAACTCAATAAAATAATATCTTACTATTATAAAAATATTTTATAAAATTTAATAATAGGAAGAATTGCAGCATACTGTATAATCAAGTCTTTTTTTCTTATCGTATATGTAGACACTCGTTTTTTTTCAGGATTTTTTTTATCGTTTTTATTATTATTATAATTATTAAATATTAAATATTAATTTTATTTTATTATTTTGTAGGTCAATTTCAAAACCCAAATACTAGCCCATACGAACCCCAAGCCCGTCTAGCCATCATAAACACTTTTGTGAGATAGGGCAACGAAGAAAGGAGGGGGAACTCCCATTCAAAACCGATCCACGGAGAACAATAAAAACATGCTCACATTCTCTCTCTTCCGCTGATCGGAAGAGAAAATTGGAATCATTACAGTTAAGGTTCAGATGCAAAACCACAATTTTTCAACCGTCTATGGCGACCTCGAAGGCAATCAACCGAAAGATCACCAGAGCGATGGAGTTTACTCTTCCTCCACCACGGCCTCATCCTCCACTTCCGCCGCCTCCGCGTTCTCGCTCTACAATTCTCGCATCCTCATGCAACATCATCAAGATATGGGCGAGACCTAAGATCACCAAAAGAACTGAACAAAATCCCTTCGAGTTCTGAAATATGTGGAGAAGGCTACTCACTTCACAGTTCAAAATCTCTGTTCGCACTTCTTTGCCGATCCGCTTCTAAAACGGCGTCGCTTCCCTTCAAATCTCACATTTCTCCTTCCTCTTCTGCTTCTTCCCTCATTCATCATTTCCCTGCCAAGTCAGCAAATACTTATGTGAAGAAAATAGTTGAGGACGTAATGCATATTGCTACTAGTCATGAGCGCGAGGAACTTGAGTCTGAGCTCCAGAAAATCCTTGAAGATGTGAACAATCATGTAGGTCCATTTGGCACAAAGGTTAGTATGCTAATGTTTCTCACGGTCTATTGCAATTGAGGAAAACGGACTGATTTGATCATGTTCATGTCCGTAACATCTTATATGGAACCTATGGCTGAAATCTGATGGTGTTGAGACATCGATGATCATTCCCTCTTTTTTGCTATGAATTACTACTATATTTTACTTCCATTTGCATTTATTCCTTTGTTTATTCCTTAGTTGTGTCATGTTGATCTAGATCACAGGAGAATACTAAGAACGTAGATTCGTATTCGTTTTTCATATGTACTATGCATAATTGGTAAGGTTCGAGTCTTGTTAAGAATGTGTGTCCGATACTAATCTATATTTTTCTAATTTTTAATAATTATGTTTAGATATAGTGGAGGTAATTTTTCAACTTCCCTCCAAATAAAATTTACCTTTCCTCTAATAACATTGAATATTCCTTATTCATAGCAAGATTTTTTTCTCATTCATAATGAATCATTATTGCTTTCCTTATTCATTGATTTTCATTTTATAAAAGCATATGTGTATTTGATTTCCTTTAGGGTTAAGAATACTATCATAAACAAGTAGACGAAATAAGAAAATTCTTTTATATATTCTATATTGAGATAATTTTGTTTTATATTTTTATTATTTTTATAATTATTTTTTGTTTTGATTCAGATTGCAATAGTACAAAGGTTTCTCCAACTTTAATTTGCAGGTAATTGTTTGTTTTCTTTTAAATTTATTTTCTTTGTTGTTAAATATGGTTTTTTTTATATTGTTGAATTCATATGGTTTAGGGTTAGTTTTATTATTCGATTTCTGATTTTTTGCTAAACGCTGCTGCTTTTTACAAAATAATTGTTAGTTTTTTCTTTTAAATTTTGCTAAACGATGTTTTTTTTATTCGATATTGTGCAATCTGATTGGAAAGCTCATTCAAAAACATGTGTATGTTTTGTTTCCTTTTTCACATTGATAATTCTTCATTTAATAAATTAATGTTGCTGATGTAAAATTTCACCTTCACAAGGTATGCTCAAACTCTGCTATGATTTTATGCTTCCTTTAGGTGCATGTGTTTGTGAATTCTGAATTTATATCTTTCTTTTTGTTTATGTTAATTTATTTACACATTTCCATTTAAACTGATTGAAAATTTTGTTATTAACATCATTTCAATGTAAGTTTGCAAAATTCTGTAATTTAGCATAATTATTAACTTAGTTGTATTGCAAATGAATCATTTTCTCAGTGTAACTGAATTGTTGTGTTTATAAATTATGTTGTAGAATGCTCTGCCAGTGGAGAGCAGTTGTGCTATAATAATTGATTATTTTGGTTGTGGTTTAATGTGCCTTTTCAGTTCCCTCTAATATCTAAGAGCAATCGATTGCAAAAGCTGGTGAAAATATTTATAATAGTTTTTTATATGTTTTAGGATGGCACCAGGCAAAGTATCTCATAAAAGGATTCGAACACAAGAAAATGAAACTCAAAACGTCTTCAGTAAACTAAATCGAATACAAGAATCTAAACCTCAACAAGTTATTGATGACATATACTCAACATCAACAGAATCACAACCGACTCAAGGTTTGGATTGAGATTGTTACAACGAAATATTCCACAAGTCATATTATTATCATATTATTTTTAT